AATTATTATGTTGATCTCTTACTATGCCTAATTTATAAATTAAACTTTATTATAGGTATATATGTACAGTTGGCCCTCCATATCCACAGGTTCTGCATCCTCGGGTTCAAACAAACAAGGATGGAAAATATTTAAAAAAATTTTTTTTAATGACAATACAATGATAAAAAATAATACAAATTTTAAAAATATAGTATAACAACTATTTACGTAACACATCGTATCAGGTACTATACATCTAGAGAAGATTCAAACTGTATGGGAGGTTGGTCAGATATTAGCATATGTAAAAAAACAAAAATAAAGTATTCAGGAAGTTATGTGCAGGTTATATGCAAATACTACACCGTTTTATATAAAGGACTTGAGCATCTTGCTGATTTTGGTATCCTCAGGGGTCCTGGAACTAATCCCCCTCGAACACCAAGGGATAGACTATATAGGAAAATACATAGTAAATATAAGACTGTGTACTGTCCTCAGTTTCAGGCATCCACTGGGGGTACAAATACTGTAAAAAAGAAGGACTTTCTCAGAATAAGGTTAATTATGCCAAAACATGTACTCACTAAGCAGACATCCCCATATCTAAGAAATAGATACAATCTAGTTACGACTGACTAACTTTATTTTTTTTTCCTCTTTTTTTTTTTTTTGTCCTTTTTGAGACGGGCCGCACCGCATTCAGCCAGTGAGCGCTGTGAGCACACCGGTCATCCCTATATAGGATCTGAACCCGTGGCGGGAGCGCTGCTGCGCTCCCAGCGCCGCACCCTCCCGAGTGCGCCACGGGCTCGGCCCCAGACTGACTAACTTTAATCTTTAGGTTTAGAATTAGTTGGAGTCCATTATTAAGTTTGATGATAGTAAAAAATTATGCAACTGTAGATGTTTAAAGATTAACACCAAGATACTGATCTTTTGCCAGGGTTTACTGTAAGCTTTGACATGAGTCTATAATACCTGCATTATTTATAAATTGACAAAAAGGAAACTCTAAAGCTCTGGTAATGGTACTGCTCTATCCCACTGGAAATGGAAATGTCACAGCACATGTTCTGTATATAAGTGGCAGAGGATAGAGATGAAAGACCTAGTAGTAAGAAAGACATGTCACTGGTTCACATTACTCTTTTTCAAGAATTATATTACCTGAAGCCAATTATTACAATGTTACAAAGAATATTCCACCATAAAACCAAAAGTTTATATAAAACTGAAGGGACAAACACTACGTTGTTATCCTCCCAGGTAATTCTGAAAGACTGACAGCACCTTAGTAATACATACTCATTAATTAACAAACTAAATGCTACAGAAAGAGAAGGAATATTAAACTTTCAAACTTAGAAGATTCCTTATCTCGGCCTATTTTCAAGAGAATAAAGAAAAAAATGCAGGTATTGTAGAAATAATGGCAAGTTAGAGGTAACTTTAAATATTGGATTTCTGCCTATACCATTTAATGTATGTTAATTAAACACTAATACTTAAAATTTGAAATAAAACATTTTACTAATTTTAAAACTACATAAGTAAAATTAAAATTTTCATGACTTTAAAAATTGCTTCAGTCATGTGCATTTGCATTTAAACTATTTTACAAATAATATTTTTTATTTGGATATCAAACAAATTTTAATCTTTTCAATTCTCATATTCCCCCAAATGAATTTCCTCATATAGAGATCTTATTGCATACAAACTCAAGACACTGTTACAAAAATATGTCACAGTTTTAGTTTAAGGGAACTTCTAAAGTTGGCAAAATAACTGTTTCTTCACTAACAAAGTTACTATCCTTGGACATGAACAGTCACTGTTATCTAGTGTTGCTGTTTACCACTCTCTTGAGACTGAAGACCTTGAAGTCATTCAATACCCCTGGCAAGAACCAAATTCACTGTTGGGGGACATTTGCAACCAGAGGAACTTTAAAATGTGATAATGGAGAGAAGCAATAAAAGACAAAAACGAACAAAAATAAAAAACTATAGAACTCTTAATTCTCTTAAAATTTCACTTACCTCCTAATACTTCTTTTTAAGTCATTCAACCCATTTTCTTATATTCTCTACATTTTCCTCAGAATAGGTCAAATTCAGACTAGTGATTCAGATGCCAAAAGTGTTTTAATTCTATTATTATAAATCTTAAAGCACCAAAATGAGAATTAAAAAAATATTTTTTAAGCAAGTAGTAATTTATGAAAACTTTAAACATACCAATCTAGTCTGTATAACCATTGAAAGTTTTATTTTGAATTTCTTAGAATATATAACTATATAAAATGGCATAATAGCTTAGTGTAGTTCCATTGCTCAAGTTTGACTAAGAAACCGGGATGGTCCAACAATGTAATTCTAATTCCAGTCTTTCTGACCTAATAACTTTAAAAAAATAGACAAAATATTTACATTTTAAAAAAATTTACCTAAGTAAAGTTGATCTTTAGAAATAATATTTTCTAAGCTGCTTTTGAAGACAGTTAAGTAGGCAGCTCTACAATTCATATAAAATATCTCCTCTTCAGTTAGTGGGAATTTCTTTGTTCGAGGACTCTCTGAAAGCGTTTTCTGACTGGAGAACGCTGCATCACTTCCTGGACTGATGGCCATTCTATTAGAAAATAATTTTAAAATTTGTTTCAGCCAATGTTAATCACCATGACAAACACCACCATGCCCTTCAAATGGGGGAAAAGATTTTAAAGTTTTTATATGTGGAAAGAAAAGATGAAAATTATAACATATATAAGGAAAAATCAAAATATTAAGTTTTTCTATGTGGAAGAAAAAGATGAACATTATAGCATGTATATGGACATATTATCATATGTTAAATTAGAATAAGCCCTTGGCAATTGATTTCTAATTTTATATATACACACATATGCATATAACTGTTCCCCAAGTATGTGATAATAGCCAAAAGAACAAAGATGTAATATAATACAAAAGCAGAATCATAGGACAAAGGAAAAGCACACATTTATTCTCCTAAAATAAGAGGACGGTCAGATGAGACTCTTCATAGGGTTATTAAGACGATTAAATCAGTTAATATATGTGAAGAATATAGAGCACTGCCTGGTACATAAGTGCTAGATAAACTGTAAACAGTTTGAAACTCCACAATAAGGAGAACTTGGATATAAAGTGGATAGGCAGTTGGCACCCATCCTCTGCAGCAGCATAAACCAGGCCATTTCATTAACGTCTCGATAATGCAGCCCCACATTTCAAATAATTAAATTTTAAAAGTCCCATTTATAGCATTATCATGGGGTTTTATTGCGTTCCTTTATTAATAATATTATTTGGGGTTTATATAGCACCTTTGCTCATAAGAGCTTAAAGAACTGTCGCACATCTTGTTTTATGCCTCCTACGGTGGGCATGTATTTTTGTCTTTTTTGTCCGTTTTACAGATGAGGAAATTGAGGGACAGAGATGTCACCCAGCTAGTAGTAATTGGCAAAAGGCAGTAAATTTTGATAACAGTTTCTTCTTTGTTAATGTGGATGAAGGTTTATTGAACAATGGTTACTGAGAGGTACTAAATTGTGCTGGTGGTCTAAGCTTTCAACGTTACTTTAGCCAGTTCTGACTTCTAAAAATACATTCCAACCTGATAAATTGAATATTTCAAGCTCAACAATAAGATGACACAGATAGAGTCTCCTTCAGGACTCATTGGATTCTTACTCTGGAGGCCTAAACCACTTGCACCTTCTTGAATTATATAGGTCTTTTACACTTGGGAAGGAAAGATAATAATCGCTTATCATGGATGAAGTACCCTATTTATAATACACAGACCGCCTGCCTGACACTTTCATATTACACCAGATTTAGAAAGACCCCACAGGGATGTGGTGTCACAGTCTGGTTACTGCAAATTGGTATCACTATAATTAAGCATCAGAGTTTTAAATACATATGCGGGCACGCGTCTCCTCACAAATGTGAAAGAAAACTGTTCCAGCAATAAAGAAAGAATGAATGTTCGCTTTGCAGCAAGCAATTTTAAAATGGAAGTATTTTTTAGAACGGTTCTCAAATATTCTTTCCAAATAAGGTGACTTCCTCACGTGGAAATCCCAGGGCAGAAATGTTCCAGAATTCTATTCTTTCTCTTTCTGTGACAAGAGACTAAACTGAAGCTTAAATAAATATATAATTGCACCCCTCAGGCTTGGAAACCTCCTTTATTTAAAACTCCAGCCCGAGACCGAGACAGGGGCCTAGAGAGTACATTGCAGCAAACGGCTCCATAAATAACCAGCCACACAATAGCAACAAAAATAAACTGTTAAGCGCCTAAGGCTTCTAAAGAGCCAAGTGAAAACAGAGAGCCATCCAGTCACCGTCCCTACCCAGTGAAATACGTTCAACGCTAATCTCGGGCAACATCTATTTTTGCATTCTTCTGGGTGGGCATAAAACTGCATTTATATGTACATTTTGGGTACGTACACGGATCAACTGTTAGTAAGACGGAGAAGTAAAAGAAGCAGGTAGGTGAAGAGGAAGCCACACAGTGAGGGACAGGGGGAGTGAAGACATGGAGACAGCGAGCTGTTTGCTACCTAACTCCAGTTCACAAACGAGGAAGCGCAGCCAGTTCTCTTCTGCGATTTTGTTATCCGTTCACCTCAGCCGGACAGAAATCAGCCTTTCTCTAATTACCATGGCAACTGCACCACTCCGCCACCGGAAATAAGACACAGAGCACCACCCCAACCAGTCCGGCTAGAAATCTAGCGATCATTGATCCAGAGCAAACAGAGACGGCTCTGTTGCTTTTCTATCGGGGGGCCGCTATGGCCAGAGTAGTGAGAGAGGGTTCCGTGTTGCACCCAGCAGGGACTGGATGCAGTCTTGGGCCTGGACTCCCCACTGTCCCCCCTTTCCTCGCACATACCCGGATCCTTTATCGCGGGCAGGGTGTTTCTGGCGGGCCGCGTTAGGCGTGGCACAGCGTCCAGCGCCCGCCCGCGCTTTTCATGCTGCCTTGTATCCTTCGGCGGGTTCTCGATTCTAGGAAGTTGTTCGGCTCGTTTTATCCGGCCGCGGCAGTGCTTCCCTGATTCTCGAAATGTTGTAGGTATCTCCTTCCCGGGTATTGCTGTTTTGGGGCCACTCTGTGCGCAAGAAGAGCAGATATTATGTGGTCCGATAGCCTTTTTCGTTTCCCTGTTTCTTCGGAGTGTAAACTTGTCTCTTTTGTCTGCAGTTCCCTTTCCTTGGTACCTTTAACCCACCTCTATTCCTCTTGCAGCCGTACTCATCGGTATTCCTTGTTCACTTTAATTTTGTTTCTCCAAGGCGTTTGGTAGATTTTATAAGATGTAGGATGTGTTTAGGTGATGTCTGACGTACACAGCACTCAGGATCGCGCTGTGTCCCGACACGGGTGCTTCATTCCCGCCGCCATTTTCCCATTTTTTATTAACCGGTATAATTTGTAAACGCCGGTATAATTTGTAAACGCCCGCATAATTCGTAAAGCCCTTTAGGGCCTCGGTTAGTGTGGTGAGTTCATATAAACGCGTGGGAGAACTCATGGCCCGGTAATACCTGGATTCTAGTTAAGGCTCTTTCACTGTTGGGCAAGTCGTTTATCGACTCTGGGCTTCATTTTCTTATAATAGTACGTTTGTACTGGACGATCTCTAAATTTCTGTCCAGCGCCAATAATCAGATTATTGAGAATGACCGTAGGCATTATGATAGGTAGTATTCATTTGTTTTTCCTATCCTTCATCCATCCTGTATTGAGACGAGTAAAACACAGTTGCTGCCCTATAGAAACTTAAAAAAAAAAAAAAAAAAAGTCATTAAAGAACTTTGGGGGGTGGGTGGATATCTAACACTTCTAATTCTTCTCTGGCTGTCCCTTGTCCCCAGGTTGACTTAGGTACCCTGTCTAGAGTAACCTATTTCTTTCCTTATATCCAAGATTGAGTAAAATGCAAAGTAACACAGTAGGGGAAATATTTGTATCAAAGAGGAATTGACATGAAAGTGAGAAGTTGTGCAGTAATAATAACAACCTATATTTATTGAATCTTTAATTATGATCTGGGTACTGTGCTTTAGCAATTTATCTACATTTTCTCATTGAATCCTAAAAAAGGACTTTAGGAGGTAGGTCCTTTACCTGTCTGCTATTAATCTTTGCTTAACAGATAGGGAAACTCAGTATCTAATAAGGTGTCCTACACAAAGTATCAATAAATGCATGTTTTACTTATACCCTTAAAAATGATGGATTATTGAAGAAGTTTTCCTTTACCCAGAATTAAGTAAAAAGACTTGTCTCCCTACTCTTGCCTTAGAAAAATCATCCAGTTATCATATATATACGAAGTTGCAAGGATAAGGTAAGAAAAAATCCCTAAGCAGGAATACAGTGAAAACAAACTGGTGTGTATTAACAAGTGGTGATACTTCTGGACTATTCCTGTTCTGTTATAAAAAACTATTTCAAATGGACCTTTTGACAACTATCTTCTTAACAAATCAATAGGTATATGTTATATTAGGAGGATTTAAGGTAAATATATCCTGACAATAAATACACAATCTTAAAAGTTGAGATTGGCATCTCACATATATAGCAACTTTGCTTAGTTTATATGTTTTAGCAAAGTGATTCAAAACCAAATTAACAATTAAATAATGCATAAAGCATAATAACATTTTTGTAAGGGATCTCCATCATTGTTAGTAAACTTATATTTTTAAATGTGGTAAATTGTGAAGTCATATATGAGGGTGGTACAAATAGTCATCTTGGCAAGTTACATGTGAAGGTGGAATAGTTTTAAAGTGATGTTGACATGATGACTTTGTTATGCACTTGCAAGACTCATTGTGTAATCTAACTTATTGGAGGGTATGATCTGTCTCATTTTTAATTTCTTTGAACCTTGAGAGGAAGAAACTTCAATATAGTAATGAGTAATTGTAGAAATATATGTGGGCTTAAAGAATCTAAAATCTAAAATGAATCTAAAGAGCAAATGTTCAATGAAAATTGAGTGGGTCGATGAATCTTAAAAATATGAAAAGTGAAAGAACCAATTTGTAGATTACATATAGTATATTATCTTTATAAAGCTTAAAAACAAGCAAAAGTAAACTTCAGGTTATGTATGTATGTGATAAGATTGTTAAGAAAAAAAGGAGGGAAATGATAAGTACAAAATTCAGTTTAATAGTTGCATTTTGGGGGAAGCAGATGAAATAGAGAAGGAGCATGCTGGTGTATTCAACCATACATCTAGTTCATAAATTATGTGGTGTATTTATGGGTTCTTATTTTCTTATTATGTTTCATAGCTTGCACATCTTAAATTTATTTATTAGTAAGCATCACATTACTACTTAAGATGTTTTTTAGATGATTTCGAGATTACCTACCTTGAATTAAGTTCTCAGCAAAGGTAGTTTTCCCTACGTTTTCTTTGATCCTCTGGATGCTGTCTTAGAACTAGGGAAGCAGATGAATTAGATAAATGCTGCTCCTGGTTTCATTAGGCTAATTATTTCCCCTTCTGAATTTACTTCTCTTTCTGTGTACATTATAAAATTAATGGATCATCATTTCCCTATCTAGATTGAAACTTAGATTTGAAGTGGAAGATCATGTACTTTGGAGTAAAACAAACTGGGATTTAAATCTTGATTTTGTTAACTAGCTGTGTGAACTTTAGATTGTTACTCAGCATTCAGTGTCCTCATCAGTAAAATAGTTGCACAATAAATATTAATTGAATGGTAAAATTGCTGCTTTGAAAAGATTGTATCCTATATGGACAAATCTCACACCATGTTTATCTTTCCATAATACTCAAGTCAAATATACCTTTATAATAGCTCTTGCTATAAATAATCGATTCCCATTCTAGTGGAGTTTTTTTCTTCTTCCATCTTTTCCTTTTTAAATCTTCCTAGTACCATTTGCTTAGTCTTTCTAATTAGTGTACATCATCATGCTAATTCAGCCAAGGACATTCAGTTTCTATGAAAGTTAACTTTATTCTGTTTGAAGCTGTGACTGAACTAAATTTATAGAGTTAGAATGGCACTAATGTTGGAGAAAACTGTTTGTAAGAGTATTTCTGAAAGTAGAGTCCATTCTGCTGATATATTTATAAAAGTGAGAATTTTCTGAGAGAACTTTAAACATGTGTTACCTTTTTCATGATAAAGGAACATGAATATAAGTGTATTTTGGATCTGCTACTTTATTTTGCCTGTTTGGGTTTTTAGTCATGTTGGTGCTAATGTCAAGTACAGTGATTTTTATTTTGAGTATTGATTATAAAGAAACAGGTGAGTGAAATGTGTCAGGCCAAGCAAAAGTTAACATTTAATAACCATCTTTGAATCATAGTAGATATTCAAAGTTATATAATTTCTTTTACTTAAAAGCCTTCTGCACTTTTAAAGAAGTTTGGTGAAATTGTTAGTACTTGATATAAGTATGAAAAATATGAAATTTAAGTACAGTTCTTTCCTGATTGTAAAGTCAGGAAAGTATAATAGAGCCTTTTTCTAATGGTATAAGTAACTCCCCTCATTTACAGACCAAAATCTCTGAAAGTCCCTGTCATTCCAAAACACTTAGATTCTGCATAAGTCATATTTTTATTGCATTGGTGGACTTTTAGGGAATTAAATCTCAAGGGGTAAACCAAAAATAGTGAGCTGAAACCAGACTGTGAGGAGTAAGCACAGATGAAAGGTGGGATTTCCCTGAATATATATAAGATATTCATGTTGCACTGAATAGACTCAGGCTAGAGGCAAGGTAAGGGAGTTAAACTTGAGACTTAGTGATTAAGTTGGGACAGGAGCCAAAATGATACCTGGGTGGTATGGATTCCTTGGCTAGTGATGAAGTCAAATGTTTGGAGGAAAGCATTCTCAATTTAGTCCCCCAATTTTTCCACAGGTTAAGATCAACCAAAAGATATCCCAGAATCACAGATAACCAAACACAAAAAGTATCTACCAAAAGTGAAAGTTAGAATGCATAATAATCAACAGATTTAAATTCCAAGGACTTTTCAAAAAAGAATTATCAGATATAAAATATGAAGTAATTGTACAGAATGTTTAAAGAAATAAAAAGTTGAGTCACAAAAATTAGCAATTAATAAGAAAATATAAAAAATGACAAGGTGAATTTTAAACTAGGATGATTAGAATGTTTAGAAACAAAAAAATATATAATTGTTGAAATGTAAACTCAATAGATGGAGTTCCATATCAAAGTAGTTTGTATTGGACTGCCTCTTACAGTTTTAAACTATGAACAAAGTATTTAAAACAACTACTTGAAGGCACTAGAGAGCAACCATAAACAGTCAAAAATCTGAGAGGTGCTGACCCTTGAAAAAATGAAACTGTTATGGGCAAGATTTGTGTTTATAGTGTTTTGCCTTGAGGTAGTCTGTGGTGTAGTACAGCTAGAACTCAAGCAGAAAGCTCAGGTTTTATTGGCTTGAAGAGTCAGGGGATAAAAGTTTGGGATTACTGGATTTGCTGGAAAATAAAGGGAAAATACTGTAAAGAGGGTAGCCCCAAAATGTGGGTATAAACTGCCTGAGTCCTTGGAAGATCTCTGAACTGTGCAGATCTCCTAACTGTGTTATGGAGACTCAGTGAAGCCTGACAGGAAGCAACAGCTGGAATGCTGAAAGAGCTAAGCAGAGATTTTATCTGCTCCCCATCATGAGAGACAAAGTTTAAAGTTTGAATGTAGTCAAGTCAAGGCTGCCAGAACAAAATTCAACACTGTCAAGAGTAAGATAACAGTATCCAGAGTTGGTGTCATATCATCTACAGTGTCCAGTGTACAATAAATATGACAGACATGGCAAAGAAACAAAAAAATGTAGGGGCCAGCCCGGTGCGCCGCTTGGGAGTGCAGCGGCGCTCCCGCCAAGGGTTCGGATCCCACATACAAACCGGTTCCCGCTCACTGGCTGAGCGAGGTG